TTTATAAATTTATTTTTTAGTACAATATCTGTGCATCGCACATGTGACACATTAGTTATTAAAATTTTACCTTACAGAAACTTACTCGTGTATAGGTATAGGTGTTATTGCGTTGTTATGGAGGATTGCAAACGACATCATTCGGCGAAGGAAGATTCTCCTGAAGTACTTCCTTCATTGACCAAAGTTATTACTGTGCATGAAGTGGCTGGTTTCGATGCTGTAAAACATCACGACGACATAAAAGATCGATCCAAATCAAATGACTTTCATTCTTCTGACTCGTCAACTATGGCAAGTTTATTAATTCTCTGCAATTGCTAAGTTGTACTTGTGACTATTCAGTTCTAAACAGCCATTTCATGAGCTAAAATACATTAATAAACACTAAATACTGATAGTTGCGGACCCAACATTGAAGTTCAGCCCGGGCGGATATTGATCATTGATCGTCGACCCAAAATATTAAAAATTATTCAATATATATGTAAACGCACTAAAATGTAAAAATTATATATATGAAAACGTAATTCAATACAACCCAAAATACTAAAGAAATATGCGATACAACTTACTCAATAACTGTAATATTAGACAATTACAATGTTTTGAAAACGTTGCAATATTGTTTCATTCGTAATTCAAACAATATTGCAACATAAATTATTTACCCCAAATGGCCAAATCACGAATTCAGAAATTCACAAACAAATAAGTGAAATGTGAAATCACAATTCAGTTCTCATTTCTCATTTCAAATTTTCAATGCCAAATCGTCAATTGATTCATTATTCATACATGATACCACATAAATGATAAATCATGATTTCAGCCTCATTATTAGAAAATAATACCAAAACCAAAAATAAATAAATAAATACAATAAAGTAGAAAATCGAGAAGGCGAAAACGGAGAACTCACGGGTAACGGGTTGACAGACGGGCGATCGATCGATCATTGGGCCTTTCGGCTTCCAGCACCGGCACGACGGCTGGTTGGACTGGTAGACGGTGGTGGTGGAGGATTCACCGACAGGCGTCGCCGAGGAGGAGAAAATTGGAATTGGAGTTTTGGAAATTGGACGGGCTGGACCTATATATAATTAACAATTGGGCCGCCCCACAAATGGCCCAAATACAAAAAAAAAAAGGAAACGGGCCGCCCAAGCCCAATTTCAAAACAAAACGAAAAAAAAGAGCGGAGGAAGATGAACCAGACAACCAGGTGAAGCAAAACCCAAATCCAATCCTCTCCCAGTCGGTCTCCCTCTTTCCTTGTGATTTGACACTGTTTCGGTGGAGCTCAGTACGCGCAACCGCGCCCTCTCGTCGGGTGTTGGGTCCGCAGCTGAATACTGGTATAATTCTTCATAATTTATCATCTCAGTGAAATGAAACAGTTGCTGTAGAAGGGCAAAATGATATTTCTAATTCTCAGAAGATGCATTTTGTTTCCATGCCATTAGCATGCCACCTTCTCCTGT